TTTGCGAAAACAAGGTCAAACAACTTCAATATTAGTTTATGTTTTTTGTGCGACTCGATTTACTTCAAAACACGTTTTATTTTCTACAATCAACTGGTTATCAATTTTCCCTTTATTAATTCTTTTCACTTGCACAATGATGGACAACGATGGAGTACCTCTACTTCGAATTGCCTCTTAAATCCACACTTTCTTCGTTCTCTTGGGAAAACTGATTCTCTGTCTGATTCGGCAATTGATTGCAGTAATTGCATTAAATATTTTTCTGCTATGGAATCCTTCTTGGTGCGTGTACCGATGTCACTCAGCTCTCCCTCGCCTTTAGGAAGACACTGCCTATTATAAGCTGTTTTTTATGTATTAAAATACCCACCGGATACCACTTATAGCAACACTAATAGTCCGTTGATCTGTGTATATATTCTTTTATAAAGAGGATGCCTGTGTTGGCCACATGCACTTTGTGGATAGTCTAGACTGTTGTCTGCTACCTTTCCCTTATGGTTTCACTATTTTTCTTTACAATAATGCTCCTACTTCTTCACTGCAGAGTAATTAGCCCTGCCTTTTTGACATCTTCTTGGGTGTCGAAGTTATCATGGCATCTTTTGAAAATAAATTCTTATTCTTTATCTCTATCGGCACCAGAAATAGAGACAAATTCTTACCATTGCACAGACAAGTGATTCACCGTTAGCCATTATTTTGTTTTACTTGCGAGCATTTGCATACTAAGCTATCCTCATTCCCCTTCACTTTTATCCACACATCCAAAATCACGCATCATAAGACTTGCTGATCAACTGCCATTTTGGTAGTCATTTCGAGTTGTCCAACGATCGAATAGTCTTAATGGCATTTGATTTTAGCATACTTCGCTTGCATCATCCTTCTATTAATATTCCTAATGCTCACTACTACCCTTTTTCTAGGACCCAGATCTTACACTACCCATTCACATATTGTCTTCACCACAATTACAACCTTCCAAACTTTGACTACTTACTTTCTATTGTGTCATCAAAATTGACTTCCTCTGACTGCAATTACAACAATACCGCAATTTCGCTTTTCACTTCGACACTGTATTCAAGTTCCACATCTCTTCTCCCCTCATCTCCACACAACATCAGCATGCCACCTCAACAGATGACTGACGCATGATCCTCCGAACTCAGGAGGTACACGCTTCTGCTTCTATTTCGACGGACTCTATTACCACTGTCCTTAATACCGGATTTAGGCGCCTAATTTCACCACCTCTACTCGTATCTAATTCCGACTTGCTGCCACGAGAGCACATCAAAGCGGTTGCCATGCTCCGTACTCCATTCTTCACTCGTCAATTCCCGGACTTTACTAGAAATTTGATGGATACACAAATCCCTTCGCTACACACTAGCTCTGTATATCCTTCTTGGTATTTGGAATAAAAAACAGGTCAGGTCACATAATTTGTGGGCCCCTCGAGACTCGTGTGGAAATGGAGAGGAGGCTGAAAAGGCATAGGGGCTCTCTATTGTACAATGACGAGCATATGAGACGAGATAATGGCTAACAGGGACGACTCACTTAAGCGCTTTTACACATTATTTTTAAAAGTCTGTCCCCTGCCAGTTTATTGCAGTCAGTTTGGACGCGAATTTGTAGTCTCCCATTTTTTTCGACAATATTCTCTACAAATGGCCCGCCATGGAGACAGCTTTTCACGCTTCCTCACACCCGTTTGCCCCAGTAGGGCTCATAGTTGCTCAAGTAAATGCATAAGCAATGCAACTTTGTCCCACCATCTACTTCGAGACGGGTTGACATCGTCAAAGCCGCTTAGTCTGGCCAAATGGAAAACCTTCGATGCACATGCGTTGAAAAGGTGAAAAGACAATCAGTTACATTTACAAAGATATGTTAATGGTGTTTCAAAGATATGAAAATAAATTGACAGTACAGACGTAAGCTTAGCACAGGTTCATCGGAGTCGCAGTACGGTACACCAAAGACTTGGCACAATCCAATAGTCTTCACTCCGTGGCAATACTCTTTCAGTTTCCGGTGATACCACTTCACCAATTCCTTCCACCCAACTTTTCCTCCAAAATGCAAATTGATATCACAACCCTATATTTCGAATTATCGTCTTATAGGATTTCGATTGAGAGAAAGAATAGATGGTCAGATATCCCGGCTCCATTTGAGTGACAAATTGTTTATTTTGCTCTATTTATCACCAGAATAGGGCATGCATTTGTGGCTGATTGGATGCATTATTCTCTAAATGTGTTAGATGCACAAAAGTGATGGCGTTGATGGTTTCTATTGTTGTTAGACTTTGCAGTTTCTCTATTCTTCTTCATCCCAAGCAGTATTGACCTCATTGATGATGGCATATGCCCGCTAGGCTCGGGCAGAAGATCTGGCATTTTCAGTAGGCCGGATTCTCTCGGCTTGGATACTGTGCACTCGATGAGTGGGTGAGTGAGAGGGTTGTTTGATTGGCCGAACCTGAGCTGAAAGGAAAACCCAGTCTTTCAATTGGACTGCCTGAGGGCAGCTATGACGTGTCATAGGTCTGACACATTCCCTCTTCACTGGTTGGGAGGCGAGTATCTGGAATATGCGGGTCAGGCATTGGTGCACAAATAGGACGGTACCAGAGATTCTCTTTCCTCACGTCTCGATACACAATTACTTGTAGGAGCGCACAAATTGCGGAGATTTACGCTAATTTTCCCCAAGCAAATCGTTTCATTTGTAGCCTTGCCTTGTGCCGAGGCTTCTTACCACAAGACGGTTCTCGAAAGGGGATACTTTGTGCCTTTCTGCTTTTGTCCATTCTGTTAATCAGGCTGAATCATGAGAATCTGCTTGCTCGGATCATTCTTATCAAGCATTCTGCATTGTATCTAGATCCGACCTGTTCATAGTTTATAAAGACGAACCATTTTATCTTACGACTTTTTTGAGGCACTCACACTGAAATTTCTCCATATATATATGTCTGTGCTTATGTGTGTGCTTGTATATATATAAATATAAATAAATAAATAAATATATATGCGAGAATTAAGAAATTCCTGATCAATGTGTTTTTGATAAATAAGCACGAGAGGACAAAAACATAAGAGATGAGTTCTATTTATTAAATTTTAGTAATGTTAATGATAATTTTGATGTGTGATCTGTCTTTATCAGCTTTTCCATACGAACTTTGACCTTGAATGTGTGAAGGCCAAGATGGTGTGGCCTTTTGTGTTGTCGCAGTCTCCTTTCGTTGTATAGAAGTTGTTTGACCTTGTTTT